GCCTTGTTTAGCTGTACTTCACCAAGTTTGTCCTGCAGCCAAAGTTTGACATCCTCCTCGATGCAGCGGTAGAATTGCTCCAATACAATGCATTCTACTACTTTATCGCGATCGTCATAAACACCGTCGCCCTTGAGCCATTGAATTAAATCGGCTTTAAGATGAAACGCAAAGTCAACGTGTGACTGATTCCCTTTTTTAGCATACCGGAACCTTTGCCTGAAAGCCTCGGGTGACAACTTATAACGTCTCAAGAGCACTTCCTTAACCTCGTCATAGCTCTCGCACGCTTCCCTCGACAAGCACGTTATCACGTCGGACACTTCGCCGGGAAGAAGAGCTAACATGTTCTGCGCCCAAAGAGACCACTCCAAAGCATTTCGCTCACAGACGTGTTCAAACTTGACGAGATACTTCGCCCTGTCCTCGCCTACTACCAACGGTGGCAGTCGGTCGCGAATTCTCTGACCGCTGACCTGAACTGTCGCAGAAGCCACGCTAGGCACCTGCAAACACTGTAGGATTGCCAATTCTATTCGTTTCAACTAAAGGCGCTCCAGTGTCTCGGCCTCTTCACGGCGTTCTCGCCTTTCAGCTTCTTCATGTTCGCGAACTTCTCGCCTTTCAGCTTCTTCACGTTCCTGAGCTTCTACTTCTCGCCTTTCGGCCTCCTCGCGGCGTGCTTTGATATCCGCCCAGGCCTCATTGACTTCTTCAGCCGACACTCCTTCATCCTTCATGATCTCGAGGATTGCTTGCTTTCGTTTCGCACGGCACAAAGTAAGGCCAAGTTCCTCACAAATTTCGATGAGTACCTTCACTTTAAGGTTCTGCAGCGTTCACACTAGCCTCTTGCTGTTTGCCCCTGTTAAGAATCTACTTGCCGTACCCACTATAATTCTACTAGCAAGACGCGCAAGCAAGTTTTTGACACTGTCGTGTTTACCTTCGGTTTCAAAGCGCTCTTACTTGGCTTGAAATGATCAAAGCTCACTCTAATGCTTCACACAGCCCTTCTCTAAACTACTATAACCTGTCCTAGACTAGTCTGGTGAACTGAGGGGAAAACATCTGGCACTCACCGCATCGATGTCGCTGACGACGGCCGATCCTGCAGCTGCCAATCACTGTTACGAAGCGCACCTCCGACGACGTTACGAAGGGCGCCACGAAATCTCACCGCTGCAACCACTGTTACGAAAGACGGCGACGCCAACACGGTCCCGAAGGCGCCCCTGCTTCGAACTCCGCCAGGAAGGTCACCAGCCGTTTGATAGCGTAGGTTTCCCAGCTCGCTACTGCTTCTGCGCACAGCTCATAGACGAGCGGACGAGACGACGGTGAGTTAAGGTTTATGTACCGCATAGATACAGAGGCGTTACAAATTCGGCACTGGGGCCGACAGCTTAGAGACTCAGACAGCCGAGCTCTCTCCTCTGACACATATGTCTACTGCTCGCGACGCACCACAGGGTTTTTTTTATATGCACCGGGAGAATTCTTTGAGTAACCAAATGTCCAACTAGAAGCGCCGCTGGTCGTGAGATCAGAATCCTCCAATGGGGTCGCCGCTGGGCCGCGTCATTTTCATCGAATCCGGAGCCGCTGCGCGTGGTTGCAGCCACGGACGAGTGACGTTGCCACGCATTGCGTCAGACTCGCCAGACATGAAGGCGCCGATTGCTTCGACGGGCTCGTTGGCTGAGGTGACTTACTGTGCGTTCGTGGCAGAAAGGCACCACCGCGTGACGACGCCGTTGAGTTGTTCGCGTGAGGCGGGCTCACGTGCTGGCTTCGACATAGATTGCCTTTTTCAGAGGCATGGACGTTCGCTGGGGACTCGCAGGCATAACAAAGTCATGATTTTTGTGCTAAAATTTGTCGCTTGTGTTCGTCATGCAATCATGTTATACCATACGAGTTTTACAACATGTCATGTGAACGAAACTACCACAAGAGCTGCAGGATCATGAAGTGCAAATCTTGACATTCATGGCATACATGTCATGATTTTCATGCTATGACTAGTCAAATATGTGCTTCATACAGCCATGTTATGCCATACCAAGTTTAGTATTGATAACATTATCGAAACGGCCAGGAGGGCTAACGGTCGTAGGCGACTAAATAGATAGATAGATACGCTCTACGCTGCCGAAGTTCGCTAAGAAGTGGTTCGCAATTAAAATTTGTATTCTTCATTTTATTTGCAACTCTCCAGTTCTCTTTGCGGCCAAGATGATTTCTCGCTTAAACCAGCATCGCTGACACCGGCATTATTTCGAAATGAGCTCTTTATTGCTCTTGCGTTAATATTTATAATTTTTCTTGAACCACTCGACAATTTCCGCATAAATACCGGGTATTCCCTTAAGTGTGTCCGAAATTCTCAGTATGAAAACAAATCGATATTTGCTGTATTGCTCGGATCATATTTGTTATGAAATTAAACTCTGTACGTTTAATAGGTTCAGCTAGCGTCAACGTCATTGGAGAGTTGAAGTTGATGCGAAAAACGCATCTTATCTATGAGCAATAGAATATTTGGCTTACTTTAAATGTTGTGGAATAATTAAATCAACCAAATGCCTGAGGTTTCACTGCTGAATTTTGTCGAACGTCATTAAAGTTGCCTTTTTTTCTCTCGGAAACCACGCGTATTCATTTATTTATGGATAATTATTTTATCGATCACTCGATCGTGTACCGTAAAGGTTATAACGGGGTGTACGTAACTTTGTAAAATAACAACGAAAAAATATTGCTTTGATTACGCATCGCATCCTAACCAGATTTCTACAGTTCTAAGGGGCTGGGAGAGCCCACCGGCGCCTGTCGCACGCGCGCGTTGGCGGACATGGCTGCGGCCGATGTAGAGACGCTGCCGGCACCACTCCGCTCGGGCTCGGGATGGTCGGCCATTGCCTCGGTATAACACGGTCGCTGCGGCTATTGCCGTCGGGTGGCTGCCAGTGGAAGGCATCGTTCTCCGTGCCCCGCGATGGCCGTGGTCGGCACATTAGTAAGGATATTCTAGGCCCTATAATACTATAAATTGTTGTATCTAAAATGATCGTAGCCTCAAAAATAACATTTGTATCACTTAAGAATTGCATCAAGAATATATGCATAGTTATTTTCCAGCGTCCAGCGTCTCTGTTGAACGCGCCCAGAGTCTCCGACGGACGCATCTAGTGTCTCCGGGAGAAGGCTATGCTACTGATACCCAACGCTCCTCAACGTATCCCTGACTTGAACTTCTCCATCTATGCCGATGATATCACCTTATGGGTGAAAGGAGGCTGAGATGGACACATTAAAGACACCCTACAAACAGCTGTAGATATAATAACAGCACTAACATCTCATATGAATCTCTATTGTACCCCGAGTAAATCAGAGTTACTCCTTCTACTAGCTCATCGTCAGAACAAACACGTTCAAATGATCGAAGTTCACATAAATGGGTGCCTCATTCCTAGAGTATCACGCATTCATGTGCTAGGTTTATTTATCCAAAACAACCGACCTAATACGCACACGCTCGAAGCTTTACGCAATACCGTCGAAAACACCCTAAGAATGATAGGAAGAATCTCAGAGAAAAATGGAGGGCTCTGAGAGTCAGAGCTACTTTGTATAATACTAGCTTTTGTGATTAGTAAAATCACATATACCCTCTCTTACCTCCATCTTAAATTAGCAGAGGATGAATTGGTCAACACCCTCCTCCGCAGAGTTTATAAATACGCGCTAGGCATTGCAATCAATACCTCTAACGCTCTACTCCATCAGACAGGAGTCATAAATGCCCCATGTAAAATCCGCGAAGCCCATTTAACAGCTCAATACGCAAGGCTCGCGACCACAAACGGAGGTCTCCACATTATATCGTCTACACGAATTAACTTCACCTCACTCACCAATGCTAAATACAACATTCCCCAAAACATACGCAAACAATTACTCATACCGCCCCTTCCTAAAAACATGCATCCAACATATCACACTAAGAGTACAATCCAAAGAACAAAAGCTCTTCAGAAAAAAATCCATGGAGCCAATGACGTGCTCTATGTCGATGCGGCAGAATATCCATCATCCTCATCCTATGCCCTCTCTGCTGTTGACTATAACGGCAAGCGCTCACAACGACATCCGTCACTGTCAACTCTTAGGAGGAAGCAGAAGAGGCTGCCATCGCTTTAGGTCTATCCATCCCCAATATCACTAAGATTGTAAGTGACTCTCAAACTGCCATATGCAACTTCAGCGCAGGTCGCATCTCATCAACTGCCCTTTCAGATCTTAAGAAACATCCTCCCACGCGAGACGTTGCTCTCATATGGACGCCTGCGCATGCGGGGTTGAGTGGCAGTGAGGTGGCTCATACCTGTGCTCGAGGAATGACCGGCCGAGCGCAGGCCTCTGATGGCGCCTTAGACTACGCGGCCTTCTTCAGCGCGAGAGATCGCTTTGTGCACAAGGGTGCGGAATTTTTGCTGGAAGTGCTTCGGATTGCTGTACACGTTGATTATAAAAGTGCTTTCACGGCGCTTGCGCTTCCCGGTGACGATTTCGACCGTGCTGTGCTCGATGGCGCCATTGGGTAGCAGCTCGTGATCTATTGAAGTTAGATTCTTCTTTACCAGGGTGTAGACCCCCTGCCCTGCGCCTTTCCCAACTGTTCGTGCGCTTGGGGGCTTCGCAAAGGATCTGTACCCCGGTAACGTCGGTGGGGTTTCACTGTGCGTTACCTGTAGTATTATAACGTCGGGTCTCTTGGTGCTTTGTTTTATGTACTAATGTAACGATGCTTTTCTCCCCTGTATGCCGTTGGGATTCCATTGCCATATGAGGAGATGATGCTGTTGTGTCTGCGCTCTGTTTCTGTGGTTAGCGGTGCCTTTTGCCGTTGTCCCGTCCATTATTGCGGTTGGGTAAATGCCTGTTATGGGATTAGTTCTGACGCCGTCAGCGCGTGTATTAGTGCATCCAACTTAGTCTGTATTCCTTGTATCGTAGACTGCATGCCGTGTGGGGGTGTCACCAGTGTGTCGAGGCGTGCGTTGGTAGCATCGAAGGCGATCGTTAGTAGCTTTGATGACTTGGCTCAGGGTTTCGTAGTTGGCTTTCATGGTCTGTTCTAGTCGATCTTGACGTTCGTTTAGGCTGTCCAGCCTAGCGTTGACTCTTCGTTCACGTGCGTATTCGAGCGCTCGCTTCTTGGGTGCCGGTTCGCTTGTCCTAGCAACGTCGATCGTTTCGGGTTCTGCGCTGTTAGCTTCCGTAGTAACTGGGACTTGTACCTCCATGGCTGAGTTTGTGTTGTTTTTCGTTGGCGTTGGGGGTCTTGGTTGACTCTGCGGCGGCGACAGTGGCAGTGGCGGAGTCGGAGTCACCTGTTGTTGCTGCTGCTGCTGCTGTGCGTTGATGAGTTGGTTCAACTTAGCGTTCATCTCTTGCATTTGAGCTCTCTGTTCAGCGATGCATCGCTTGAGCTGGTCATTTTCATTGCGTAGTGACTGGATGGTGTTGTCATTTGCTTCAGCTACGTGGTTGAGCGGATTGCGGTTCGCCGCTTGCGGGTTGACTGCCTGGGCCCCATTTATCACATTGCCCGGTCGCTGCTGGTTGCGGTTGTAATTCATGTTTTCGCTGCGCTTGCCGTCGGTGCTTCTGCCGCGGCTCGCCGATTGTCTCCTGCTTTTGTCCCGCTTCCTCGAGCAGCTGCGTCCTCTCTTTGATAGATGCGCTTCGTTCTGTTGTTGCGGTAGCAGCTGCGGAAAGTCTTGCGACGAAAACGTTGACGCCGCGTTTCTACGCTCCCATCTGCGCTGAGTAACTACGAAGGGCACCTTGTACTTGTTCTTACAGCCTTCCGTGCCCGTGGCGTGGGCTCCGTTACACAGTTTGCAACGTGGCTTGCACCGCGCCGGGTGGTCTGCCGTCGGGTTGGGCGCGCCACACGCAAAGCAGATCTTGGTTTCCGGCGTCGGGAATACATCGGCTCGATGACCGATTTTGCCGCATGTCTTGCATACGTTGTGGTGTTGTCTGTATAATCCATACTTTACTATAATGGAGCCATACTTTATGTAGTTGGGAACCTTTGTTCCTGCGAACAAAGTGACGATCGAGGTAGGGTTTCCAATCCTGTGCGCTTCGAGGGCCTGCGAGTTTGCTTGGTTAACGCTATTCTCGTGCAGATCTTTGGCAGTGTTCTCTACTGCGATGCAACGAATTACTCCTTTCACTGTGCCGTGAGGCGCGGTGCAACGGACCCACTCCCCAACTACGAAGGGGCAACCAACGAGAGACTAGATGCCGACATCGAAGAATGGGAAGTGCGAGCGGTTATACAAACAATCAACTGTAAATCGGCATCCGGACCGGACCACGTCATCAACAAGGCATTGAGGAACTTGAACGACACGGCAATCCAAGCCCTCACCAAGTACTACAACCAGTGCTGGTGGACGGGCAAGCTACCGCAACAATGGAAGACCGCGAAGACGGTCCTGATCCCCAAACCGGGCAAACCACCCAGCATAGACAACCTGAGACCCATCTCTCTAACGTCGTGCGTGGGCAAGGTGCTTGAACACGTCCTACCCAACAGATGGTAACGTTAATTGGAAGAAGCCAACATATATCCATATACAATGCCGGGGTTCCGAGCCAGACTGTGTACCCAGGACGCCATGCTGTTGCTCAAGAACGAAATCCTGGACAGACACTTTCCCACGTTGGATAACAGAGCGGTGCTCGGACTGGATCTCCAGGGAGCATTCGAGAACGTAGACCACTCGGCCGTCCTTCGGCAGGTGTCCCACTTCAACACGGGGGAGAGGACGTTCACTTACATCAAAGATTTTCTGACCAACCGCACCACGCGGCTTGTGGCAGGAGAACTACAACTACCACTCAAGCAGCTGGGGAGCACAGGGACACAGCAGGGCTCGGTGATCTCCCATCTGTTGTTCAACTTTGTCATGATAGGCGTTGCAAGAAGACTGGAACGCGTTAGAAACATCAAGTACACGATCTACGCGGACGACATCACGCTGTGGTCAACGGGAGGAAGCGACAGCCAGATCGAGGCAGCTCTCCAAGAAGCCGTCGCTGCCGTAGAAGAACACCTACGACCCACCGGACTCAAATGTTCACCAACCAAGTCGGAACTGCTAGTGGTCTCACCGCGAAGTGCGCGACGCCCGACAACGCAGAACATCAACGTGGTAACCCAAGCGGAACGCCGATACCGCACGTGCAGACGCTCAGAGTTTTACGGCTGCACCTCCAGGACTTGAACCACAACAACGAGACGGTACAGAAGCTCCACGCAAAGCTTTCGCTAGCCACCCGCCTACTCAAGAAGGTGGCCACGCGGTACCAGGGCTTGCGAGAAGACAGTCTTCTACGACTCACCCAGTCGTTTGCAGTCAGCCACATCTCTTACGTAGCGTCGTTCCACAATTGAAAAGCGGCGGAAAAGATCAAGATTGACGCGATGATCAGAAAGGCGTAAAAGACGGCCCTGGGCTTATACCCCCACACCAACACGGAACGCATGCTCGCGTTGGGCGTTCACAACACGCTGGAAGAAATCGCAGAAGCCCAGCGAACGGCGCAGTATTACCGCCTGTCCCAGACCAGGACGGGAAGAACGATACTACAGCGCATCGGAATGAACGAGCCAGCGACGACTCCGGAGGTGGCAAAGCAGCTACCCCGGGATGTTCTCCAAAGACTGAGGGTTCCACCCTTACCGAAGCACATGCATCCACAAGCGCACCAAGAAAGAAGAACGGCGAGAGCCAAGGCCCTCACAAAAGGTCACGCCAACGATCCGCGCGCGTACTACGTGGACGTGGCGAAGTATCCCCACCGGCCAAACACGTGCGCAGCAGCAGTCATCGCAGCCAACACTGGAGTACTTACAACGTCGGGAAGCATACGGTGGAAGTCGCCCACGCAAGCCGAGGAGTTTGCAATCGCACTGGCACTAGCGATCCCGGATTGCCTCATGGTCCTCAGCGACTCGAAGACTGCAATAGCCAAATTTGCTACAAACAACGTCCATGGAACCACTGCAAGAGTATGTTCAACTTAGCAAGACCGAAAACCAACATTACCGTCAAGTTGTTCCCTGCGCTCCGGGGAGCTGGACGTGGGCCCGAACCGCAACGAGGAGGCAGATACGGAGGCACACGCACTAACTAGCCGCGGGTCTCTGTCAAGGCATTCCTCGGAGCCGCAATGACCCGATGCCGAAGACGGAGAGTATTTTATCACAACCTACGCCGACGTTCTGCACTGGTACAGAACGAGCAGACGCTTCTACCCACCGCCTCACCGAGACCTACAACGCAGAGAAGCAGCCACACTACGGCAGCTGCAAGTACAAGCAATATGGAACCCCGTCTGGGCAAAGCACGTTTGCCCGGAGGTTTACACCACTGATGTATACCAACACTGCAAGAAGGCGCGAGCCACCCAGAGACACCTCCTTTGGGACTGTGCACCACCGCCGGGTAACCAAGAAGTAATGCCAACTGCCATAAGCAGCAAAATTATCAGCCGAGAGCCAGGCAATCAAAGAGACGTGGTCCGGCACGTGCTTAGCATCCTGGAACGCCAGTGGCCAAAAGCGGCGCCCCCACGGGTTCGACGTGAGTAGGTTGCTGCTCCGGGACGTCCGAGCACGCTAGTGTCTCGCTTTAATTCCCCTACCCCTTCCCTTTTTATGCCAGATCGTAAATAAAGTTGTTTCACTCACTCACTAGAAGAGGGTACATCGTTGTACGCGAACGCTGTTTTGGTTTGGAGAGGTAAGATGGCACACCTTCCAAAATTCTTGGTCAGGTGTCTTTCACCAGTCTCGGTCATTCTCGGGGCAGCGAAACGATGACCCCGTTCACTGCGCACTCGTCCACACGTAATGTCACTGGCGTCGAAACGTTTTAGGGGCGAAGCTCCTTGTTTAGAAAAAGTTTATTTACAGCATGTACAGAACACAAAGGCTTCATACCATTTCAGTAACAGGGCACATACACTTCGGCACATCTATATTTCACGACTAACATCACTACGTTACAGTGAAGACATTTGCTCTAATATACATGATTATGTTGGCATACATGTACACAAAAATTCAATGTGATATCACGATACAGGGGTATAACGATACAATAGATCCAAATGAAACACAATTTGTAACAAATGAAATCATATATAAAAACTCAACGGGCGCTGCTTAGCACCAAGTCGGTAGAAAAATGAGTTGTATCCTTTCGTGTTCCACCTTGACAAAAGGGCACGACCAATGCCGCAGAAACTCTTGCTCCCCGAGAAAGAAAAGCTCTTCGGAGAGGAACGCGAGGATCTCTCGTCTCATTCTCCCCAGTATCGGCCACAAAGCACGCCGGCGGCAATTGGCAGCTACGGCCTCACATCGGTTTCTCCAAAGGCTGAACAGCCCCGCAACTATTAAGAGAGCGGAGAAGCGGCTACGCGGAAATCGGCCATTAGACACGAAAGTTCGCACACCCTGTCCCCGAAAGCCAGCATTAACCGCACGCCAAAAAAGGCGGGAAACCACACATTCAAACGTCGCATGTCGATTGGTCTCTACCATGACGCAGTTGGGGCAAGTAGAAGTGCGTACCACCTGCCATCGCTGCAACCGATCGTGGGGAGCAAGCCCCAGCCCAGCCTCCAGACAAAGTCTCTGAGATGCCCTGGCAACATTGCGGCAGTTATTGGTTTCCAAGCGCGGTTCAATACAGATTGACGATGCTGGGGCACCAAGGGCCGTAGAAGGGCGGCCATTGTGTCCACCACTTTAGAATCAGCCACCTCTATCTCTGGGTAAGTAGCTTCCATTCGTCGGTGAAATGCCAGATGGGCTCGATACAAAGGTGGTAATTCAGTTGATTGGGGACCTTTGTTTGTTTGGCTATCCGGCAAGAAGACACGTAGTGATGGCCCCAGATGGTAGCGAGCCAGTGTCTGAGCAGGCATGTCATCATTGCTTTGTATTCGCAATAGAGTGCGGAGGCACAATGTAGAAGCCGCGACAGAAACGTCAGGGAATGCAAAACCGCCTTGATCTCGCGGTTGAGCTAACGCTAGACGCGATAACAATTCTGTGCCACCAGACCAAAAAAAGAACTGATGCAGCTTTGCACTTTCCTGCAGACGTGAAGCGGTGGTTTAACAGAATGGCAAAGGTACCAAAATTTTCCTAGGTACACCGTTTGAGTTAAGTATCGGCGTTCCAAGAGGGGGAATTCGAAGTGCCTGGCTGCTTCGATATCATTTAGAAGAGTTTGTACAACGGATGACCAGATACTATCCTGTATGCCAAATACAGTGAAAGTAACTCCGAGTATTGAAATCTCAGGAGACCACTGTAAAGGCGATGTGATGTTGATACGACCGCTGGGCTTGCCAATGAAAAAATACTGGCTTTTAGAAAAGTTTAACTTTGCACCGGAAATAATACCGAAATCATGGAATGTATCAAGAGCATGCTGCAGCGACTGTTCATTATGTACATATAGAGTGATATCATCTGCATATGCAGCGACCTTTACTTGAGTGTTACCGGGTAGAGGTAAGCCACGAATCTGCGGGTGATGTTCAA